AAAAGTCCCGGCTACAACATGATCTTCTCCGCAGTCTTTACCACTCTCTGCAGGCGCTTGCAGTCCATAGCAGTAGTGTTGCCATACCAGACAGTCGTGCAGCTGGTCAAGATGGCTAAGACTCAGGTTAAACATGTACAGGACCACCTCACTGAGCTGGTCTGCACACTCCCTGAGGACCCTGGGGCTGATGTGGTCCTGGCCTTAATCCTCCTTAACTCCTCCCTGACCTGCCGTGAGGCGGAGGGGGCTGCTGGGCGGTGACTGTTCAGGAGCTGTGGGATGTTGAGAAACCCCCATGACAGGGAGGAGGGGCAAGGTCTAGCTGAGGTGTGAGCAGCTGTGGGGGCAGGGAGACAACTGACCTGGAGAAGTAAGTCGGGGCGCTGGTAGAGTGGGGGTGGTATTACATACAAAAAAGAAGCAGAATACAAGACAACCAGTACAAAGCAATGAAATAGAAAATATTAATTCTAATAGAAAAATTAACTAAACAAGGCAACATTATTAGACACTTACAGAAAAGTACAAAAGAGGAGTAGTAGTAGAAGAGAGATTAGAAATAATATATTAAATATTTCTAGTCCCCCATCCTATCTTTAAATGTGACCACAGACAAAACATAAAAGGTAAGAATTAAAGATACAATAGGCAAAAATGAGACTAAAGGTCTCAAAAGGCCAAGGATCGTCAACTCCAAGATACCAGTCTGTAACAGTGTTTTTCTCCGTGCTGTCAAGATCCAACCAGCTTGCTCAAGAGACGCAGGCTGAAGGTTTTGGAATGGCCATCACAGTAGAAATCCAACCAACAGTAAAAATCCATAATTAAATCAAAGATCAATATAAGTAACAACTCACTACAACCTTCCATGCTAACTGAGGAGAAGATGATATCTAAAACTTTACAAGCTAATGTTAAATACAGATAGAATAACGATACCAATGACTAAATGGGAAAGGATTTGCCACTCCCCACCAGCCTCAACTTCTGGACTGAGATCTGTTATATCTTTTCCATGACTACCAATATGAACATACAGCTTATACAGTATAAGACTATTCACAGGACTCACATCACCCAAGGTAAAATGTTTAAAATGGGTTTCACTGATACAGATACTTATTCACAATGCACTCTGGGTTGCACCAATGATTACTTAATGCTAATTGTCAACCTGTTTACTCCTTTGGTGGGTAGAGTCTGGTGTGAACTAAATTAATTCAAGCATATCATTCCAATTCCAATAATTATTTTATATTACAATAATACTGAACACTTCAATAAGTTGTAAGACAATCCAGCAATCTGAAAGATAGGGAGCAGAAGAACAGAATCACCACCCCTGCAAAGGAATAAATACAGTATTAAATAAGAAGATTGTTACAGTCAGTCAGTTGAGTCCAGAGTCGGGCCCCCTCTCCACCTGACCAGGTCCAAACGCACACTCATGACTGCAGCACCATCATTCTCTCTAACCCACAGCTATACTAACGTTTATCTTCTCCTAGTTTATATACAGTGGGGCAAATAAGTATTTGATACACTGCCGATTTTTCAAGTTTTCCCACTTACAAAGAATGGACAGATCTGTAATTTTCATCGTAGGTACACCTCAACTGTGAGAGACAGAATTTACAAACAATTCCAGAAAATCACATTGTTAGATTTTTAAATAATTTATTTCCATTTTATTGCATGAAATAAGTATTTGATACAATAGAAAAATAGAACTTAATATTTGGTACTGAAACCTTTGTTTACAATTACAGAGGTCAGACATTTCCTCAGACCAGGTTTGCACACACTACAGCAGGGATTTTGGCCCACTCTTCCATACAGATCTTCTCCCGATCTT